GCTATGTTGTACTACCGTATATGACAATATGCCTGGTACTACCATATATGACCATGTGGTGCTACCATATATGGTCATGTGATGTTACCATATATGGACGTTTTACGACCAAATAACGTGATAAAGAAGATGGACTAACCTTCTTCAGTTCTGCTTGTCATATAAGAAAGCTTAGGATTCAAATGGCTGAGAAGTCCAGATTGCCTKGCTTTGACCGCTTTACAAAGCTCATCAGAAAAACAATGAACCGCGTAACAATTGTTCTCAAGCATCATAGCGACATCACAGTCTCGTCGACCACAGCAGAACCGAATACAAGTTGACATATTTGATACTTTGCCCAAGTCTGTGAAATTACCAGCCCTGTAGCCACCTTTGAGTGTTGATTTGTGTCGAATATCGCTGTTCTTACAGCTTAACTTTGAATCTGTGGCTGGTAGAGTGCTTAGGGTAATRGCTGAAAGCAACGAGAAGGATATCAGTTTTAATTCACTGTAACGTGTGGCCATAGTTCAACGTGGATTGCTGGTTTTCATTTAGTGTTAACGTTGGAAACGTTCCTACTTACCCTCCCCTCCCTAAAGACTAACCTGATTCTAGTGCCAACGCAGTAGTCCATCGTTTTACAAACGCCACAGTCGGTCTATAGTTGGTTGTTTCGGTCTTCACCGTATTACACAAGTCTTTRGTAAAACAAGAAACTAAGAAACAATTKCCTTTGATGACTAGCGCCAAGTTACATTTCTCTGATACACAGCACAGTCTAGTGCAGGCATTGATATTCTCGACTTTTCCTACATCTGTAAAGTTGCCTGCTTTGAGTCCTCCGTTTAACGTCACGCCTTCCTCTGGCTCCGTGACAGTACATTTCAAGTTATGTGGAATGGGGTTGGAGAGGTTGCCATGCGACGCTGATGCTGAAAGTGACATCAATCAATCAATAAATCAACCAATCAATCAATCAATCAATCAATCAATCAATCAATCAATCAATCAATCAATCAATCAATCAATCAATCAATCAATCAATCAATTGATCAATAAATCAATAAATCAGTCAATCAATCAATCAATCAATCAGTCAATCAATCAATCAATCAATCAGTCAATAAATTAATCAATCGATCAATCAGATGTCGAATTCAAAAACAAGCTCTACAGAAATTTGAATAAGGCCCTTCAGCCCTTCAGCATCGACAAATTCTTTCCCGCGTAAATGTTAATTCAAGCTAAAGCGCGCGCAAACCATTAGTAGAATTTGCGCGCACCAATTTTCAGCTTCACGCTAAGGAATCCTTGTGTTGGATGATATTTTTTCATTTCTCACCTCCTTCTCCTTTGATTGTCACGTGAGAGATCATCAATGACGTAGGAGCCTTTGTGGCGGGAACAGCTCGACAAGCTTCTTCACTAAAGCACTGAACACCGTAGCAATTCTTTCCTGATAGCAACGCTACGTCACAACCTTTCTGATTACAACACATACGAATRCATAGCTGCATGGCCACAAATTGAGCAAGTTTTTTGAACACTCCCGCCTCGATACCACCTTGTAACGTCACGTTTTGTCTCACGGGACTTTGCTGGCAAGATTCGGCGGGAATTGTAATTTCTCTGGTTTTATTTGAAGAAGCTGAGAAATAAAGAAAGGATGGTATTTTAGATGTATATGYGTGGAATTCATCAGCTGGTTAACGGTACTCAAGAAGCGTCGTCATGCGAAACTATTATTTGATTTGACCACTGAACCCAYGGAAACTTGAAGTGTTCATTGTATTAGAAATTTCTGGAATTACTACTCGCTATGGTCAAGCATTTTATTCATGATATTATGTTTGGAATCTAATAGGTTACAMGCAATTATGTTATTTTAAATCTTTGTKRRGTTTCACAAATACATGGCATATGTTATGATAAATTTGAAACATTTTGCTTCAATTTGCGGTGAAAACTTGTATAGATCATGTATAGAATTTCTGGAATGCACYSTTGCGCGCGGATCAAAARTCTTGATATAATAAAGACGATTTCGGAGCTAATTCTGTAAATATACGTTATGTTATACATGTAGTATGAAAAATATTCGTCCAATATATTTAAAATATTTTTTGGGCTGAACAAATCAAGCGTTTTAAGAGGCTTTTTCACGAACCTGCTTCGAATTTGACTACCTTGTTCAGTTAAATTGAAACTTAAACAATGATACAATCAAAACTGACAAAATATGACAGCTAAAAAATTTCGAGAATATTTCCACATGGAATGATTGAAGGGATTTTGCAGTTTAAGTGTAGAAACGTTGTTTAGATTTTGATTTATTCAACCATCCAAAACTCACTCGGTTCTGAAGCATCTTTTACTGACTCAAAATGATGCAACCAAAACCAAGTCACGCCTGTAGAGCTTCAAAATTAGACGTCGGATGAAAAATTAYTGAAATTTTCTCCAAAAACTAATAAAAAAACAATTTCCTTTGTAATATTGCYGTTGAAAGCTTTTTGTTGACTATCCATTTGAAAGCAGTACCAGCAGAGGTCTATACAACCACCCTCAAAAAACACGATGAGTTGCAAGATTGTTTACTACGAAACTACATAAAGTGGCAACAGACAAATTGATCAAAGTTATCAACTTTAAAACATATAAAACTTCAATTGCGTCTTTCTTTTCATCAAGGAAAACGCGTCTTTTAAGTGSTTTACACGTATTAAGAAAGGTTTTAACCCTTCAAGACGTAGACCAGTAGATACCGCAGCGATTTTGCATGAGTAGTTTGAGCTGTTTTCCGTGGCTTGTGCTATAAAGCCGTGAAAAAGAACCGCCCAGAACCACTGCTTTTAGCTAAATCGTTTGATCTTCACTGACTCCATGTTAATGAATCCGTGAGTAAAGAAATAAACAGTAACATTGAGTGATCGTGGGGATGTCCTTGACATATCGAGTTAAACTGGTGTAAGATACTAAACTTTGCTAAATAGCTCTGCTAGTAATCTCGAGTTTTAATGGCCAAATGCGGTGCACGCAATGCTTGTGAAAGTCGTTGCTTTGTAGTTTTGATTGATGAATTGGTTTTGGTAGAAGTTTGGATTTTGATCAAGAGTCATAAGCACATAGTTTTTTATAGCAATGCAATGATATTACGCCAGCTGTTGAAAAAACAACAGACAGCTTAAATGACAGCAACAGCCCGCAAAAAAGATGATCGAGATGTCCATTCTAATAAGACAAGTTGTAATGACCTGAACGTCGCGAGTAGGATAAAAAAGGCTGCATATGCCTTCCTCTTACCTTCGACGGTGACAGACGCAGTCCAAACAACTATTATCACCAGAAGAAAATAAGATTTAAGATTCCTCATGATACCATGACGACGGGGTAATAATTCTGATATACCACCCTTGAGCGCGCTTATTTCCCTCGTTATTTGATATCTTCAGCGAGAATCACAGTGAAGGAGATTGCGCGTCTCAGTAATGGCGGCCATGTTCGCATAAAGCATTAATAATGCATGATAATGTAAATTAGTAAGTATGACCTCACTGGTTGGTCAATCTGGTGTTGTCTTGTTCGACGCTTGTTRTTTTATTCTATTCCGATAGACATCCGCTGTATTTTTGGACAGCGGTAAAGACGAAAGTGGAGTAAGTGAAATAGTTTGCGTGATTTCATAATAGTATACATGCCATGTAAGTGATTGCACAAAATTCAAAAAACAGTTTCTTTATACAGCGGTCAATACAAAACGTTCAACCCGGGAATAAAGGAATCTATACTCGACTGGAATCAACGAAGTTAATCCGTGAAATTGTACAAAATCACCGTTTCTAAATTCACAGCATAGTACAAGCAACCTGGTACAATTTCACGGATTTTGTGCGTCACTTCTAAAGTGTATTCCAATATTCGTGAAATGCTTTGTGAGAAATGTACAAATTAAAATAATTGAAATTCAAAAGATTTTGCGTGATTTTGATAACGGGTTTTGCGCTTGATATCGTCAGCAATTAGTAAATTTTATTCTCGATTCGTACTTGCGTGTATGCCTATTTGAGCTCATGCATGCGACATATTCCTCTATGTGGTGTAAACTAGCGGTAAACTAGTGTGAGCTGCGTCGGTGTTTCTAAAGAAACAGTTGTGCAAAAAGATAAATTTGACACCGTAAAAAAAGTATGTGAAATAACTTAATGATGTTTCGGACGTTATGTCCTTTGTCGGAGTAAAGAGCAATGATTAACGTCCGAAATGTCAGTAAGTTATTTCATCTACTTTTTTACGGTGTTAAATTTATCTTTTTACACAACTATTCCTATTAATCGAGGCGTCGATTAAACATTATGGCGGATATTTGTGTATATAACTTTTTGCAGAAAATTTAATAACTAGTTACGAAAAAAAGTGATTGTGATTCCTTAATATTTATACAAGTTTGCAGTAGTATTTCTGCGACTTCTTGAAAATCATTGGCGAGGACCTCCCCTCCCCTACTTGTTTCCATTCCCCAGCTACTTCTAAGGGCCTGGTTACACAGGATTGAGTAGTGAGATTCGCCGTCTCTGCAAAGTTGTTGTGTTTTAGACGATTTTTTATCGTGAAAATGCTTTCTTTACGGAGAGCAGCAAGCATATATGGTAGACGAACTCGTACGGTTTGTCTTCGTGCAAGTTTRAGTCAAGCAGCTCGTTTGATTGAACGAAAACCGGTGTTGTTATGGAGCGCCAGGTAGGTGGACAACAACGTAGAATGMACACGCTTATATAACCAAGTTATTATTTCTTGTTGTTTATTGCAGTAAATTTAAAATTAAGTAACTAAAAGACTAAAGCAAGATGTAATTCATAACATAGGTTCGCACAAGTAAATTGTTTTGCTACAATATAACATTTAATCGATGGATTGTACACTTTATAGTAAAAATGCAAGCCTTTGTCGATTCGCTCTGCCCTCTACTTCTTCATTGAGATGGTATTGCTCCAACGGTAAGCTTGAAATTTTAAACCAGGTTAACGATTACGAATTTGATGGTGCAATTTCTTTTAGGTTATTTGTGTGGATGTTGTTTCATTTCAACAGATGGGGATTTTAGATTTAGTATTAAATTATCTTCATATTCTTGGTGTGCAACCACATGACCAGGAWTCCCCTGAGAAATAAAGAACAAAGCTATCGCCGCCATGTTGGATGAATGAACAAGAGAAACTAATGAGGAATGCTTTGTGATTTTCATCCAACATGTCGGTGATGACGTAACTTGCACACCAAGAATAATAGATGTGATGTAGGTCAAACCTTGCTGCAGAGTTACTGTATGCTATAGCACTGTGMAAAAGCTGGCTCAAACATTGTTCTTTGTACATGTATGTTGAACTTTAACATAAGCAGTACAATTGTCATTTGTTATCCTACATATTAACCAGTCCAGCCAAAAAGCAACTAATTATAAAATGCCCTCTAATCTACAGGGTTACCACCTCACACCAAAGTCCCTCTCCCTGCGCTGTCACCRACCATGGAGGCAGGAACCATTGTCAGTTGGGAGAAAAGCGAGGGGGATGAATTGGAAGAGGGGGATCTCATGGCTCAAATTGAAACGGATAAAGCAACAATGGAGTTTGAAACACCTGAAGAAGGCTACCTTGCAAAGATTATGATCCCAGCAGGGACTAAAGATGTACCTATAGGRAAGCTCCTCTGCATTATTGTCCCTAACCAGGAAGATGTTGCAAAGTTTGCTAATTATGTACCTACAGAAGAAGGAGCTCCAGCCAAACCTGCAGTAAGTAATGTCTGTATTTGTCTCTTTAACTGTTGAAAGGTAGCTGTGCATTTGTAGCCACATCAGGATGAGCTGAACAGTGAGTATGCAGTATGATAGAAACCTTCTTTCACACCTACGGATAATAATGGATATCTTATGGATATTGCAAGCTCACTGGTCATTTAACTTTGGTGTTAAGGCACAGTTACCTTTCAAGATGACAGAAGAAACTGTAACAAAGACTATTACAGCTGGTAAAAATCACTGGAGAACATGAAACTGGAAAAGTCATTGTTTTTTTAGCTATATTATAGCTATGGTTGTTGCTATGGTTTCATTTCAGGAGACAGCAGCAGCTGAGACATCTGCACCTACCCCTGCAGCAGCCCCTCCCCCACCTCCACCCCCTGCCTCATCTCCTGCCCCAGTAGCACCAGCAAGAGCTGAGGGAGAAAGACTGTTTGTAAGTCCATTGGCTAAGAAACTAGCTCAAGAGAGAGGAATAAATCTTGCAGTAAGTGCAATGGAATTTAAATTCATATAAGATGCAATGCTGCAATGCTGGGTGCTTTGTAAAGAATCTCAAAAATTGTCTATTTATATGAGAGGTGAAATGATATCTTATATGTAAGGCATTTAATGAGGTATAGAGTCTTTGTACAGGTCTCCTGGTCTTATAATATTATTATATGTAATAGGACTCCATGCTATTAAGAAATAATTGGACGAGAAAAATTCCGAGGACTGCCAAAAATTGGACGAGGCCGTGGCCGAGTCCAATTTGGCAGTCAGAGGAATTTTTCGAGTCTAATTATTTCTTAATTGGACAGCATGGAGTCTTATTACCTATTAATTATATAGCCACATATTGATCCCAAATAGGTAAAAGCCAACCACAGCTTTTAACAAAAACCCAATTGAAAACCTGTCCAATTAATTTCTTAATTGGACAGGATTCCAAAATTAACGAAAAATCCAGCTTAAACCTATTTGGGATTAATATGTGGCTATATAATTAATATTATAATGCCTCTAACATAGTTTTGGTGTGGTTATTAAGAGTGTACAGGGATCAGGTCCAGACGGGAGGATTAGAGGACAAGATATCCAAGCTGCCGTTGCTGCTCCACCTACTATGGCTGCTCCTATGGCCGCAGCACCAATACCAGGTATTCAAAGATAAACTACAAACTACCATGTATAAATCTATAGACACAAGAATAGAAACAATTAATGCTGTTRACATGATGCAGTTATAGTTAATTGTAATTTAATTCTTTATGTTAATTCTTCAGGTGCTGTATATGAGGATATTCCATTGACAAACATGAGACAAGTTATTGCAAAGCGGCTTGTACAATCCAAGCAAACAATCCCTCATTATTACTTGTCGCTAGACGTTAGGATGGATGATCTCATCAGGCATGTTATGATGATGATGATAATAATACCTAATAATCTCTTCTGCAGTTCTCTGTGTCATTTTGTAGTCGTGTCTTTCAAGCAGTAAACCCCTTTCATGTCTTTTATAAATTTCAGTGTCCGTCAACAATTAAATGAGCAAAGTAAAGGGGATTTCAAGCTGTCAATCAATGATTTTATCATCAAAGCATGTGCATTGGCTTGTAAACAAGTACCAGCTGCTAACTCTTCCTGGATGGGAGACTTTATAAGACAGTAAGAAAATACTCAATTCCTGTTTGTAATTCATGTCATTCTTATGTATTTGCTTCATCACTTCATAATTTCATTCATTTATTCTCATCTGCATTTCAATGAGATGTGGCATCTTTAGCAGACAAGGCAAACAATAACACTTACTTGTTTGTAATTCATGTCATTCTTATGTATTTAATTCATCACTTCATAATTTCATTCATTTATTTTCTCATTTGCATCCATCCATTCATTTATCCATTATAACATATAATAACTTATACTTTAGGTACAATAACGTAGACATATCTGTTGCCGTAAGCACTGATAATGGACTGATAACACCAATCGTCTACGATGCAGATAAAAAAGTAAGATAGCTCCTCTTTCTTTCTTTCTTTCTTTCTTTCTTT